GGCTTGGCCAAAGGGCTTTGAGGTTATCTGGGTATAGGGGCTCCCTTGAGGGGAGCCGCATTTTTTTTGGAAGCCCGCGATGTGGATATATGTATATATTTATATTGGGGTATACAGGGGAATGGAAAGTAAAATGGAACCTGCAATATTGGCTTGGATTGGGGTTCAGGGTTAGCCGGAGATCCAAAAGATTAGGGTTCAGTGATTCAGGGTCCAGCAAAAAAGGGTTAGGGTACAGACCCTCATTGTCTTCTTTGTCGCCTTGCTGGTTGTTTTTTGGACCACTACAAACCCCTATTTCTACCTCATTTCCAATTTCTTTTCCATTGGATGGTTCAATGTTGGGATAATGTATCCCTGTAGAATACTCGTTTCAGAAGCCAAAAAGTTATTTGTAACCTTAGTCCCGAAACCCTAAACCCTACAAACCTCATTCAGGAAGGGAGGCCGCATGCTGATGGCAGCGCCAAGACCGTGTCTTGACTTGCAAGTTCTCGAGGCCATCGGGTGGGTTTATAGGGTTTAGGGTTTCGGGTTCCGGCCTATCAGGGGTTTAAAAAGGGTTGAGGGCTTGGGGTTGACGGAGTAAGGGTTTAGGTTGACACAAAAACCAAAGTAAACCCCCTAAATCCTAAACCCTATGTAGGAGTTTCTATCGCTCGCAGTTGTGAAGATGCATGAGTGGTGACGTTCTGCCCCTTGGGGCGGGTCTCTTGTTTTAGGTTGTCTCCTTTGCATAGCGAACCCAAATTGGGGTTTCCCAAAATTGGGGGGCATGGGGGGTCCCAACAACAAGGGGGTTTATATTGGAGTTCCCTATTTAGGGAAATTACCATACCAAATCTCATATATTTGGATTAGCCCTGGTCCTGGATTAAGTCATCCCTAAACCCTAAACCCAGGTCCTTCTCGTACCAGGCAAGCAGTACTCATTTCAGCAGTCCTCTTGTCAATAGTGTCAATGTCTCTTTGGAAAAAGATTCCATCACTTGCCTGCTGCTGGGTTTAGAGTTTAGGGTGATGGCTTATGGCTTATGCTGCTCAGACGGTACTGCTGCCAGGTCCGCCCTTATCATGCCCAGAACCCCAATGTCCAGCTGGTACATATCAAAATACGCCTTTTCTCTTCCATTTGCTTCTCCATTATTGGGGTAACATGTGGTTCGTGTTCGCAAAGGAATCCCTCAAAGCGCAGCTGCTCCACAAGCAGCGAGGCTGGCCCCAAGCACGACTCTCGCAGAGGTGATGCATAGAAGGCTACTAGCAGTTGGGAAGGAGGCATGCGCGAAACCTGTGCTGACGTAATCGCCATCGTTCTTGTTTCCTCTGCTGGCGTGGTAGGTGCTTGCTGCTACCCTTGCTGTTGCAAGTTCATGTCGTCGCTGCTGTTTTTATTGTGCCGAGACCGGACAGCTGTTTCTTTTTTTGATCCCATTGGTACCGGACGCACCTCCCAGACTATCCAGGGCGTTTCTCCTTGCCGTAAAGAGAACCACTTTCCGAGCGCACACAGTGTGCTATTACCCATGAAGCTCCAAGTTGTGTCCTGTGCCAGGAGATGATCATGGGCATGACTCCCAACAACGTGAGTCAGTGTCTTGGACGTGAAGCATGATAATGGTTTAGGTGGTGTAGATTGCAGGGGACAAAGCTTGGGCTTAGATCGTAGGCAGAGTAGAGTTGTAACATGTGGCTTTGCAAAAAAGCCTTCAACAATCAAAGGTGGTTCTCTGTGACACGGGTTGTTTCATGGTCACAACAAGCTGCAGGGATAACAGTTGCCATCCCGTTCTGTGAAAGTAGCTCCAATCCCAGAAGACGTTTAGGGTTTAGGGTTTAGAGAAATTGTGATCATGACGTCCGCCTCGCCTATACCAGCCACCCCTACCCGTGTGACCGTTGTGAATCAAATTTGGGTTGCTGTAGCAAATTCAGACGTTATATTATATGATTGTTACTATCATCTATTTCTAATCATCTATTTCTATGATGATGATGATGATGATGACGACGTCTGTCATTTTGAAATGGGTTAGACATTACTCACTGTTTTTTATTCTTAGTAATTTGTTTTGTGGTGGCTCCGGCTTACAGCAGCAGAGCAAAGGAGTCCGAAGACAAAGCGAAAGTTCTTCGGGATAAGCTCATGACGCCTAGCTGCACATCCGTGGTTGCGAAGCAAGAGGTGTAAATAGATAGTGGAATAACAATTCAGGTGGTTGTATCTTGCCTGATGCCAAGGCTAAAAAAGCAGCAGCAGGAGCAGAAGAAAAACGAGGCAGTGATGCAGCAAGAAAGTGGCAAAATGCTCCAGCCGAAGTCAAAGCCCACAACCCCACCTGCACCTTTCAGAGTAGCCTCTGAAGAGCTTCTGTGCAGCTCTGAGAAAGTTGAGAGGCCAGAGTCATCCACGACTCCCAAAGGCACAGTACGACAACAGTGCCTTGCGGCAAGTTTAGACTTATTCATACTCGTTCATTGCTGGTTGTTCTGAGAAATATAGTTCTTTTATGACTTGCATAAGGTTTTGTTGTGGAAGGCGGCGCCGAAGAGCGACGTTAGGTCCGTTAGGTTTGATCCCTACGTTGTGCTGCAGTTCCACCTAAAGTTGGCCATTTGTCGCCAGCTTGCGCATGCTGGCATGTACTGGTGGTTTTAACAGATGACTGCTAGAAACATGGACCCGAAACCCTAAAAAAAGACCCTAAACCCTAAACCCTATCATGACAATGCTAGTGCTACATGATCTTGATTCTGGAGCTCTTGCTGTACCGCGGATCCTTGGGCTGATTCTCGGGTAACTGGTGTTTTATTTGGGGATGTTATGGTGCCCAATATAGAGTAAGATTACATCTTCCTTGTGGGTATAGTTTATATATACGGAACATTACATTACTTGGTCCAGTGGCTAAAGAAAGCACTACTTAGGGCGACAAATCCGCAGATGAGCCGCGCGCGGTTGGGCAGGCAGGAGCCAATTAGTCCGAGCATTTTTGGAGAGTTCCCTTACGCAACATGGTTTGTCCTATATACACCTATAAATGCCCATAATTGAGTTCTGACTCTGTTCCACGGTAGGTCACAGAGAAAGCCCGCTTCGCCTCCGCTGGTGCAGCAGCACGCGGCATGGCGGCACTGAGCCACTGGGCAGCGCATGGGGGGTTAGACTGAATTCCTATGAACCACTCCATAATCCCAGGTTTCCTTTGTTTCCATTTTCGTTTCCATTTTCGTTTCCATTTGATTCTCCATTTCCGGGAAGTAGGCCTCAAATCCCTGATCCCTAAACTCTAGGTATATTGAAGTAACGTGCTGTGCAGCCTAGCCCCTGAGGCGCACCCGCGGACTCCAAACAGCGAAGCTAAGCTGCATTGACAGAGCAGAAGAGTGACAAGCTGGGATATATCGGGTTTATATGAGGGTATAGAGGGATACATGTACTTATACAATGCATTTTTTACAGTGATGATATAGAGACTAAAGAGGGATTTAGATAACACCCCAACGCCAAAAATGGAGAATCACATGGGCAAGAAAATGGAAGATGAAATGAACACTGGGGCATCTTATGGGGATCCCCAAAAAGGTATCTCTATTTTTTGGGAGCCATTTTCCCTAAAGCTGAGGGTTCGCTCTCATTGCAGGTCCTGTCCCTCAAAAACTCGGCATGGTCATGGCAGTACCTAGCATTTCGAACACGTTCAGTTGCAGCCGGGAACCTTCAACCCCAAACCCTAAACCCTACACCCTAAACGCTGTTGTGTGCGAGGCTACCGCTACCCTCAGCAGACCCCTTTCCTGAGACAGTGCTCAGACGCTTCTGAAGTTTACCAGCTGCACGCCCGTCACGTCCCCCTGTGGGAAAGTACTATGAGTGTACTTGGAGGTCCGTTGTACTTATAACCTGCTTAGTAACTGTAGTTATCGCCTGAATATAAGTCCCGTAACTACAGTTAGCCTAGATATAATTGGGTCATAACTACAGTTACTAAGTAGGTTATAAGTACAATGGACCTCCAAGTAGAGCCTCCTAAGTCCATGTACCGCGGGGTGTTCCGATGCAATAAGAGCAGAGCCATGCGCCAGCGATGGGGGCCATTGCTGGGATTTGGCAGCCAAACAGGCAGCCGTACTGAAGCACCCAGAAGCAACCCTAAACCCTAAACCCTAAACCCTAAACCCCAAACCCTAAATCTTTGTCGTCGCCATCTCCGATGGCTGTTGGTGGGCTCCGTCTGGGTTGCTCTGAGTCGCCAGCAGCAGCCCGATCAGACAAGATGGTTTGAGACGCAATCCTCAGCGGCTGTCCCAGGATCCTCTAGCCGCATTGCTGCAGCAGGTGCCGCTGCCGCCATTGGCATCGAAGCAGCTCAAGCTGCCAGCAACTCGAAAGCGGCGGCTGGCGGTAGCAGTTTGGTGACCTCCGTGCTGAACCTAGCCAAGAATATCATTGGCGCTGGCATGCTGTCCCTGCCTGTGGCCATGAGAGGCGCTGGCCTCCTTCCCTACGTTCTCGGCATCACGTTGGCAGGCACGCTGAATGCCTACACCTTCTTCTTGCTAGGCTGGTGTTGCGAGGTCACTGGTGCCAGCACCTTCGGCGAGCTCTGGGCCAAATGCTTTGGGAAGCAGAACGCCTGGATCGCTGACATTTCATGAACAACAGTATGGCCTGCCTGGCATATTGCGTGCTTATGGGGGACTTCTTCCCGAAGGCCTTGGCTGGACTGCTGCCCGACTGCCATTTTCTTCATGGCCGCGGTGCAGATCTTGCAATCATTGCTGTCTTCCTACTGGTGCCCTTGTCCCTCATGAGGGATCTGGCCCCTCTGGCATACGCTTCCATTGCGGGCCTTGCAGCCACGGCCTACGTCTTCCTTATGCTGCTTAAGGATGCGATGGCATCAGCACAGTGGGGCGCCGCTGGTGCACTGACGAGTAACATCTCACCCTTGCGCTTGGACTTTTTTGAAGCTTTGGCCTTGTTTGGATCCGCATTCATGGCGCATTACAACGCACCAAAGTTCTACGCTCAACTTGAGGACCGTTCTGTCCCCAAGTTTGCAGTTCTGGTGTGCATGGCATATGGACTCGCTCTTGTTGTATTCATAGTGTTTGGCATGTGCGGGTTCGCTCTCTTCGGCTACGATGCGGAAGGGAACATCTTGAAGAATTATGGTTTTGGTTCAGAGGTGATGCTGGCCTGGCTTGGCATGGGCTTCTCTGTGGCCTTCACATACCCATTGGTCTTCAGCGGTTTCCGGGACTCCTGTGTGTCCCTGCTGGGCGGCTGTGGCCTTTCTGGGGAGTCCAGTGGTTTCCGGTTGAGCTTCACCCTTTTCGCTGTTGCGGCCACAGTCTTGGGCGGAACTGTCTTCAGCAACGTAGCCCAGGTGAATGGGGCAAAAGGTGCTGTGCTTAGCCCTTGCCTGGCTTTCATCTACCCAGCCGCGATCCACCTCAGGTCCACGTCCAGGGAGAAGCGGGAGAAAGTCAATGCACCGCCTTCCCTGGTCGCTCTGCGACTCGGTAGCTACGGCCGCCTTGCCTTCGGAGTGCTTGCTTTGATGGTGATGTTTGCCTTACCAAAGACCGATTTCTCGGAATTGGCCAGCGCCTACCCTGCTGGGATGTAGCACACCGGGTCCTGCCACATCCCCGCGTAATTACTAGGTCGGCAGAGTTTCAAGACTGCAGACTGGATCGTGGAAAATCAGGGTGCCGCGCAAGTAGCATCTGTATTATTGTGTGTCAAGGTTCATCAGGGATCATGAACTATGTCATCACCCTAGACCTATAACAAAAAACATTCTTCATAGCATTTCTTTAGGGTTTATATTATAATACACCACTAAAAAATGGGTTTTAAAATCCTTCGGCCTGTGCTTAAGCGAAAAAGACATTTCCTAACGAAACTACAGGAAGCTACACAAGGTCCAACGCCATGGAGTGCCGTGCAATCATGAAGCCTGAGAGCATGGTCGGGAAACACCCCCATGTGGTTATTCCCAAAAGTAAGGGTACCTTCTAAAGGGGGTTATAGGGGATACCCTAAAACCCTACGTTTAGGCATGAGCCATAAGGGTTTCCCAAAGTTGTTTGTACCATTTTGGGGGGTCACAGTAGTAAGGATCGTTGTTTTCTGGGGTCTATATTGGGTCCCCCTGTTTTGGAAACTGCCACATCAGCAAGTGTTTGAACACAAAGTAAGATCTGCTCCGTGTCTCGTGCGCTGTCTCAGGTGTTGTGGAGGTGGAGGCGCCAAAACACATGCATCCAGAACAGTTCCTTTTGGAAATTCTTAAAGTAGCCCTACCTCTTAGGACCTGTAATAGCGCTATACTCAGAATATAAGAGGACCCTAATATAATCCCCATTATCCCTTATAGTCACTATTACTGGGTGGGGGGTCCACCTAATGCATACTGCTCCATTTCGTGTGTGAGATACTTTGGCTTTGCAGTGCAACAGACCTCAAAAAGCTTGGGTTTAGGGTTTAGGGTTTCTGGCCAGGCGCCCTCCAGTCCGACCAACCCGGTGAATGATGAGGTGACTCACCATCCAGTTCATGGTGTATGAAGTGGGGGTGGTTTCCTGAAACTAGGGGTGCCAGTTGGGGGCCGCCATAATAAGGATTAGAGTGTATTGGGGTGTATTTCTTGAAACTTATGTATAGGGTGCAGGGTTCAGGTACCAAAAAAAGGTATGATACCAAGAATACTGTTCGCCTATGACTCCCGGTTTATCTTTGGGTTCGCATGAAGAATCATCTCGGAGATTTTTGGAGTGTCAAAGGCGCTGATCCCTACCCTCATCCATACATGGCTACTTTTCCCCATAAACCCCTATAAGACCCAATTTCCATCTCATTGTCCATTTAATTACTTGTCCATTTGACTATTTGGTTTTCAGCTCTTGGGGCAACATCCCTATATATTCCCGATCTAATCCCTATATATCCTAAACCCTCACCGGTAGTTTGGCTTTCCAGTATACTCCCTTACAATCCTCGGACGGTTTTTGGCCAAATTGCCATCCAATCGCCTCCTCAGCTAGCTGTTCCTACTAATGAATACTCCGGAGAAAAAGGGGTCCGTTCTTTGTTGAAAACTAGTATAACCAAGGCCTTGCGCTCCATGAGTCCATGGCGCCTTTTCCATCCAGAGCTATCTAACCAAGCCCAGTATATTGCTTTGTTGACAAGCGCTAAACCGGCTGGGGCCAGGAACAGGATGTATATAGGGTTTGGGGTTTAGTCCTTCATCCCTATATCCTTCCTACATGGTAGGTGCCATAAATGGGAGGACCCCAACAGAGGCGACCCTTAGCCTAGGATCCCTATCTTCTGCTCAATTTTCTTATAAACACCCTAAACCTTAAACCCTAAACGGGATATGAAGACATGCCAGGCTGCCCTTGATGTAGGATCCTTGAGTTCGAGAATTTTGGCATGTCTCCATATGCAGGACTCCTTGAAATCAGGGATCTTTTTTTGGGAGTCCCTATCTCATGGATTCTTATACCAGGGATTTAGGGGGCATAGCTGCTTGTTTATAGCCTGAACCCTGAATATACACCTTATAAACCCTAAGCCCTAAACCCATGCAACAAAAAAAAGAAAACAAACTCTGGCATCTGCCCATGTCATCTCTGAGACTCCAGTGGAAGGAGCGCAAACAGCAACTACGAGGACAGCGTTTCGCACAGCCAACAGGTTTGGGACCCAGAAGTCAGGGTTTAGAGTTTAGGGTGTAGGGTTTAGAGGGTTTGCAAAAAGGTTTAGGGTTTAGAGTTTAGGGTGAGCATGTAGAACGTTTGTGGTCTTACGAAGCCAACGTGGGATTTGCAAATGGGTCCTACAAAAACTCCAGTCCCTTGTCGGGGTCCCGCGGTCCATGTTGCTTTGTGGACTGAGAAAATGTGTAGGGTCTGACTACGGGGCGAGGGTGGGAAATGTGGTGTGTCCTGAAGTGCGTAGGATGTAGGGCTGGTAGGGGTTCCTGGGTTTTCTATGGACTGCAGGCTAGGTGTATATAGTCCTTCTAGTGGTTATTGGCGTATGACTTTTCGGGCGTAGGAGCCATCAGCTCCTTGAGTGGCGGAAGTGGAATATCTTGAGCACTACCAAAGCCCAATGATGAGCTGGCTGTTTGACCCAAATACATAATTGTGAGCCGAGTATTTGTGGGCTCAAATTTAATGGTTGCATTTAGTTTGTAATATTGAAGCACTCAAATTCCGCTCTGGAGTAGTTCATGGCAATGAATGTTAACCTGTGAATAATACCGCCCCCCCCCGCCAGATCTTGTTTTGCGTTTTTGGTCTACGGAGGGGGTGTGAGTTGCAATAACAAATCAGGGGATGGGCGTAGGACTAGGTAGTGTAGGTCGTAGTACTAGTATCACCAATACACGGTATTTATCAAATCCGGAGATTTTTCGGGCAAACAAGATGATGATTGTCACCTTGTTATTATTGCCGATGGACCATGTCTATTGGCTTTCGGGCTCCGAACTTGTTACACGGCAAATGTTGTCTTCCGGGATTTTCTGGCCCTGCAACAATATGTTATTATTGTCGATGAGTATCATGAGTATTATTCGTATTATTAGTATTATTGGTACGGCTAGTATTGTCATAAGTTCTATTACTGCTGTTATTCTACTTACGAATAATAGTAAGTATTATTACTACTCGCTTGGCTATGACTACCAGCGGTTCTCACAGCTTAGGTTCAGCTCCAGCGACGGGCCTCAAGCCCACTGGGGTTCTCAAGCCAGGCGCTGTTTAAGGACAAAGGCTTAAGTGGGGTTTAGGGTCTAGGGTTAGCAGGTGTGTGGGACAGGGATGAAGTGTTACCCTAAACCCTTAACCCTAGGTCCTAGGCATGCAGACTGGTAAGGACAGATTAGTTTTTACATGTCCAAAACTGGCCCTCGCCTGTCCACATTTGGCCAAAGGAAAGAGGGTGAAGAGCCATTAGCACTTCACGAGGATTGCCTTGTTCACTCATGGTATGCTTTCTGGTGCTCTCAGACATTGGCACAAAAAACGTTTTTTGGCGCCCGGCGCGCAGCTAGCTGTGGGCAGGTGCGGTGGGCTCGCCTGAACCGTTGCCAGCCCCAGGCCAGATTCCCTGTGATTGGTGTTGGGTTGTTCTCAAAATTATGGACCCCTCTTGATTATATACTAATATTGCAGCACCTAGTATTTAGGGGCGCAAAAATGGGACCCTAATTTTGGGAACTACGCTGTTTCAATTGACTTTCAGAGAGCAGGACTTTTGTCTCCAGCACCTAGCGAAATGAATTACCATGCTTGTAGGGTTGACCTGGTAGTTTCTCAAAACAAGGGGACCCCAGTGCTACAAAACCTTATTATGCAGACCACCCAACAGGTACCTCCCAACTTTGGGAATCCCCACCTATATCTTTTTCCAGAGTTTACATTGCGAGTCGTGCCATGCCCCCCAAACCAGTGCTGGAGGTGCAGAAGCGGCTGCCTTGGGCCTAAATTTTTGCTGCTTGCTATGTTGCTGGAGGAAATCTGACATTACCTGAAGTCCCTAAAGTTCTAGGAACTACAGTAGTTTAGGTCCCCCAGGTGGTGCAAGATTTCATCCATCAAAAGTATGTTGCCGGTGGTCTCGGGCTGTGGGTGCTTCGTCCGTGAGGCATCCCAAGTTCTTGCCAAACAGAGGTAAAGCACTTGACTGCGTGCACGGGTAGTCATTTTGAGAAACCCTACCTTGAACCCTAAACCCTAAACCCTAATCTGTGGTAGTTTTGAGAATCTCAAACTGATCAATGAATCTTTGGCTCGCGAGGACGTAGCTCGTCCTGTCCATTCGCTCAGAATTTGGCCATGCCAAAAAATCTGGCCCGCGTTTTCCAGTCCGTAGACAACCATGTGGGTGGTTTACTAGGTGCCGTAATATCTTGTTTACCCAAAAGGGGCCCATAATATGGAGAACAACCCATATACTAGAATGCGGTACAAGTGGAGCTGATAGCTGCGCGATTCATGTCACAGGTGTTTAGTCGGTACCCAAGGGGTTCCTTATTCCAAGTATTCGGGTTAGTGGTTTGCGTAAAATGCCTACCTAGCACCTAGACCTAAATCCCTATATGGTCGATTCCAAAATAAAGGGATCCCAATGTAGACCCCAATATACTGTTGTCCTTCTTCTTGGGACTCTCAAAATGGTACCCGCAATTTGGAGACCCTAAACCCTAAACCCTAACCCTAATCCCTAAACCCTAAACCCTATATAGCCCTATACACCCCTTTATAATCCTATAACCCCTTTAAAGGTACCCCTAATTTTGCCAGTCTTGTTCTGAATCGGCCGGATACGAACGATCTGCCGCCTGCGCCATGCAAGTGGTACTCTCGCTAGCTTCCAGCTTCTTTTCCATGCTGTTTTCCCTTTGATTCCTGACTCTTAGGGTTTAGGGTTTAGGGTTCCTATTATCCCATATATCCTCTACATGTCCCTCTACATGACAAACCCTAAACCCTAAACCCTGAGGCCCTACCTAGCCATTTTCTTTCGCTGAGCTGTAAGTTCCACCAAGGCCGGCGTTAGACCGGCGAGGTCGCCCGGCTCTGAAGTGTGTACTGGGTTGGGTTACAA